GTGGTCAGGCAGTCAGGGTCAGGGCCAGTGGTCAGCAGTCAGGGTGAGGGCCCGTGGTCAGGCAGTCAGGGTCAGGGCCCAGCCAGGTCCTGTGCAGAGGCAGAGACCACACCGACGGACCAGCAGGAGCCAGTGGCCTGCTGGAGGCCTCTTCTCACGGGGTTCTCTGTGGGAACATTCCCACCAACGCAGAGGGAGTTACAGGAAGGCGAAAGGACACGCCAAGGACTTGGGGGCTTTCTGGAAGCCCGTTTAACACGGCTCTTGACCGACACTCAGGGCCAGGAGAACTAGGGCAGCACACAGAGCAGGCGTCTGACACTGGTGCCCCCGGCGTGGCGAGTTCCACCTCTTCTCACTTAGATCCGTCCTATCCGCCTCTTCTTCCCTGCAGTTATTGTCCATGGAATTTATTCTTCAAATTTATGACACAAAAAGCCCAGAAATAAGTTGGTGAAGCGAGAACTTAGTTCATCTCAAATCTCCAGTTTCAGTAGGACAGTGCTGGCCCCCGCCAGCGGCCGTCCCAGCGGCTCCCTGTCCTCATCCTGGCTCCTTGACTCCCAGCCACCCACCAGGACCTGTGCCAGCACCTCTGAGGCTGAGCCCGTGAGAGTGCTGACCTCGGGCCGGCCACATCCTCAGAACCCGCCTCGTCAGGGCCTGGGACTCCTGTTTCCTGGGCCACACAGGCACAGCCCAGTGCCTGCCATCCAGAGCTCCGCAGCAGGGAAATGAGGTGAGATGTCAGGAGGACCAGCGCTCGGCACAGCAGGGGGCACAGAGGTCCAGGGCAGTCCAAGCAGGCCGCCTCTCTGCTGTGGAATGCAGGCCTCTGGTGGGGCGGGTGGGCAGGGTAGGGGTACTGCCCACGAAGGAGTGCTGGGGAACCACTGGGCGCTCTGCCAAGTCGCACGGTCAGGATCGTGGGTAGGCCCTTCCTCTCCCAGCACCCTCTCCGTGGCTGTCCACCGGGAAGGGTTCCACACAGGCCTGGGTCTTGTGGTCCCTAATCCCCTGTCCCCAACCAAAATATAAACTGACCACACTAAGGGGAGTGTCCCACTCCTGGGCTGGGCGGAAGAGCAGAGACATGCCCTGAATGGTCCTGCATGGAGAGGGGAAGGCCAGGTGGGCATCCGGAGCAGCATCAGGACAGGGTGAGCCAGATGCCCATGGGTGGACGGCCCAGGATTTCCCATTCCTCTCCCAAAACTAGATGCAGCGGAGCCCTCGAGGTGGTCAGAAACACTCTTCTCCAGGCCCTCCCAGCAGCCAGGACAGGCGCCATAGGCCCACCCACCCACCAGCAGCCAGGAAGTTCTGCTCCACACCCAGCCACAGCACCCTCAGTGTCACAACTGGCCTTCTGAGGGGGTGACACCAGCTCGGGGGCTCTCCTGCCTTTCCCGGAGGCTGGGGATGTCCTCCATCGGGTCTTTGCCCTTATCTCACTGGGCCTTTGGTTCCCTGCGGCCACGGCCACTGGGCATTCCTGGAGGCGCCGGGTGCACATGCTGTGCGACAGTCTGGCAGCCGTCATCCTCGTCATCCTCGTGGTAATGGGAAAAGTAGAAAGTCCGTGGTCCACTTTCAGAATGGCCTTAAGGAGGATGCAAGATCCAGTCTGGCCATTTTGACCACAGGCCTTTCCTTTGCCCGCCCAATTCTAAAATCAGCCAACCATGCCCAGTGTGACCCTGAGCGCCTCCTTTCCTAGCTGGGCAGTGCCGCCTGACAGATAAAGGGGCCCCTCCCGCCCGGCTGGCATGCTTGCTGCCCAGGCTCGGTGCTAGGCCCAGGTGCGTTTGCCTGGCAGAGCTGTTCTGACCACCTCTGGATTCCTGGGGCAGCTGGTCTGTCCAGCAGTGGCTCCTCTGCTTGGCCTCCCAGGGGCCTTCAGCCGGGCCCAGACTTGCTCCCTGTGGTGACTGCCAAGGCCAGCCGGGCCCTTCTGGGGAGGGAGAGGGAGGCCTCACACCCTCCACGGGGTGCCCCCTGGTCTTCAGGGCTGTGCCACTGTCCCTCGGGGGGCTCTGCCCTCCACGGGGCTCCTCCAGGGCTTCAGGGCTGTGCCACTGTCCCTCAGGGGGCTCTG